CCCTCCCTCCTTCTTTCTCACCCTCTCTCTCTCCCTCCCTCTCTCCCCCTCTCCCTCCCGCTTTCCCTCTCTCTCTCCCCCTCTCCCCCCCTCTCATCTACATGTGCATCTATCATGTGGAAGGACTAACCAGACCGTGGGCTGCAACAGATTCTCTTAGAAGCAGCTACTTCTGAAGGAGGCTGACCCACAAATTAGAATTGTGGCATCCTATACATTTGCATTTTCTGATTATTTTTTCTGTCCATAAATAACACTATTTTTTTTTTTTAAAAAAAATTGCCCTTCCCTTAAGGAAGGCAACAAGCAGTCGAATAATGCCGAAAATAAATCTATTCGGTTCAAGCAACAGTTGTGTCCCTAGTAGGGTTTGTAGAATAAACTACATTTTCCTAGAGCTTTCAAGACCCCACACTAGAAATCATGGTTTGCAAACCATAGCAGCCAGTTTCAAATAAGACGCAAAGCCACAAATAAGTAAACTGCAGTTTGAGCTTAGGATGTGGTGTTTTTGGACCGACTTGTCAAAAAATATTAACCCCCCCAAAAAATCGCTCTCGTTCTTTTGCTCTGATTGGCTAGAAAACGATTCATGAGTAAAGAGAATATATTTATCCATCTTAGACTGGAATCTGATGTAACTCAACCTGGGAATTAATTCTTCTGAGCACAACAAGGTTGTGGCTGAAGTAAACATACACAGCTTGGTATCTTTAGTAACACGTGCAAAGAAAACAACCAAAGTATTTTCGCTTATTATTATTATTACATACATTCCACCCCCACACACACCAAATATGTCTGCTGGAAACACCTATCTCCCTCAGCCACTTGGTTGAGGTGATAAAGCTATATTTAACACATTTGAAGAAACAGGTTAATTTCTCTCTCTTTTTTTTTTCTTCTTCTTCCAGGATGAAATAAAATAGAAATCCTGGGAAAACATTGGTATATCTTCTCTATTTTAGTCAGAGGAAAATCTTTCCTTCCATCTTAATGGATGGGATGAGATCAGTGCAGAGGTGGGTTTCAGCAGGTTCTGACCAGTTCTGGAGAACCGGTAGAGGAAATTTTGAGTAGTTCGGAGACCCAGTAAATATCACATCTGACTGACCCCCCCCCATATATTCTCTGAATCCCAGCTGATCAGGAGGAAATGGGCATTTTGCAGTATCCTTCCCATGGAGTGGGGTGAGAATGGAGATTTTACAGTATCCTTCCCCTGCCACGCCCACCAAGCCACGTCACGTCCACCAAGCCACACCCACAGAACCGGTAGTAAAAAATTTTGAAACCCACCACTGATCGGGCGAACCGGTAGCGGTGGCAGTGGGAGGCTCTGCGCATGCACAGAAGTGTCACGCACGCCCACGAGCGTGCGAGCACCCATGAGCAAACCAGTAGCAAACAAAATTGAAACCCACTACTGGATGGGATGGGATGGGATAGGGTAGGGTAGGGTAGCATAGTGTAAGGTAGGGTAGCATAGCGTAGCGTAAGGTAGGGCAGGGCAGGGCAGGGCAAAACAGAACAGAACAGAATACAGGTAGTCCTTGACTTATGACAACTGAGCCCAAAATTTCTGTTCTGAGACATTTGTTAAGTGTGTTTTGCCCCATTTTATGACTTTTCCTGCCACAGTTGTTCAGTGAATCACTGCAGCTGATAAGTTAGTAACCTGGTTGCTAAGTGAATCTGGCTTCCCCCATTGACTTTGCTTGTCAGAAGGTCGCAAAAGGAGAATCACGTGACCCCGGGACACTGCGACCGTCATAAATATGAATCCGTTGCCAAGTACCCAAATGTTGAGCACAGGATCATGGGGATGCTGCCAAGGTCGTAACTATGAAAAATGATCATAAATCACATTTTCCAGTGCTGTTGTAACTTTGAACGGTCACTAAACGAACTGGACCCAGGGACCGGAAAATTCATCGTTAAGTGGAATGGTCATTAAACAAGACAAAGCACGACCAGGACTTGTGACCTTCCATTGATTTGCTTTGGATTTCAACCCAGATGAAATCCAAAATGGAATAATTCTACAAATGGAATGGAATCGTTCGGTTTCGATGTTGTATTTCTTGGCTCTTCTCTCTTGTTGTCACAAGGTTGGTTTGTTTTTGCCGTGCCTTTGCCTTGTACTACAAAGCCATGAGTGCATGATGCAACATGGGGCTTGGGGTTAGGTTTATCTGCTTGTCACGGAGCCTGATGCTGATTAGCCGGGAAGGAGCGGTTGCCCCAAGGACACCCAAACGTTTTCTGTGCCAAATAGAGAATAGAGCATGGCTGTTGTTATTATTGTTGTTGAGTCACTAAGTCATGTCCAACTTTTTGTGACCTCATGGATACACACGCCAGGCCCTCCTGTCCTCCACTGCCTCCCAGTGTTTGTCCAAATTCACGTTCATTGCGTTGATGTCACCATCTAACCATCTCATCTTCTCTTGTCCCCTTCAACTTCCATCAGGGGTGGACTTCAAAAAGTTTAGCAAGGGGTTCTCTGCCCAGTTGCTGGGTGGGCATGGCCATAGTGGGCATGGCTTAGTTGGCCTCCTGCACCATGACAGGGTGGCATTTTTGCCCTCCCCGGGCTCCAGAAGCTTTCTCCGAGCCTCTGGGCAAAAATGGCCTCCCCAGACTCTGGAGGCCCTCTGGAGGCCGTTTCCAGCCTTCCTGAACTTCCGGTAGGCCCATTTTTTGGCCTCCCCGAGCCTCCACACGCACCCTACACTTACCTGCATCCAAAATGGGCTGCGTGGGGATTCCTGGGAGGGACGGGGCAGGATGGGCAGGGCCAGCCAGGAGTGGGATTTGGGGGTTCTCCAATCTGCACAGAATCTTATTTATTTTTTATTTTATTTCAAATTTATATACCGCACCTTCTCCCAAGGGACTCAGGGTGGCGTACAGCCAGATAAAAACATACAATACAAACATTAAGAACAATTAAAAGAATATATATTAATTTGGCCCCAGTTTAAAATTTAAAATTTAAAAATATGTTAAGCCAGCCCGGCTTGATGAAAAAAGGAAGTTTTAAGGGCACGGCGGAAGGCACCAAGGTCTTAGATTCTCCTTATCTCAGGGGGCAGCTGGTTCCATAGGGTAGGTGCCCCCACAGAGAAGGCCCTCCCCCTGGGGGTCACCAGCCTATATTGTTTGGCTGATGGCACCCCGAGGAGGCCATCTTAGAGATTCTCCTGAACCCCTGCGAACCCCCAGCAGCCCACCCCTGCCTTCCATCTTTCTCAGCATCAGGGTCTTCTCCAAGGAATCCTCTCTTCTCATGTGGTGGCCAAAGTATTTGAGCTTCAGTTTCAGGATCTGTCCTTCCAAAGGACAGTCAGGATTGATTTCCTTTAGGATCGACTGAATTGATCTCCCTGCAGACCAAGGAGCTCTCAAGATGGTCACCTTTTAATAAATCTGCTAACAAGGTTCTGTGAAAACCCAGCTTGTTTGATGGGGAGCAAGGCAATCCCCCTTTTCCAAGAGATCAGTGACTTTGCCCCAATTTTATCAAGGTACAGATAAATGAGGTGCTAACAGGCATAGAGACTAGCTGGCCAATTTATATTTCTCAGCCATGTCTGCTGTTGTCATTCAGTCGTTAAGCATGTCCAACTCTTTGCAACCCCTTAGACTACAGCAGGCCAGCACCCCCGCTCTTCCCTGTGCTCCAGTGTCTCCTGGAATTTGCACAAATTCATGTTCACTGCAGTGTGGACACTATCTAATCATCTCATCCTCTTCCATCTCTTTCTCCTTTCGCCTTCCATCTTTCTCAACATCAGGGTCTTTTCCAAGGAGTCCTTTCTTCTCGTTTGGTGGCCAAAGTATTTGAGCTCCGACTTCTGGATCTGTCCTTCCAAAGGACACTTGGGTTGATTTCCTTTAAGGTTGACTAACAGAAAGTAACCCAAACATTAAGAATGTTTACACAGAATAAAAGACTAATGAAAAGGAAAAAGAAAGAAAGAAAGAAAGAAAGAAAGAAAGAAAGAAAGAAAGAAAGAAAGAAAGAAAGAAAGAAAGAAAGAAAAGTGCAAGAAACAAAAAAAGGGGAAAAGAACAAAACTAAACTTTAGAAATTTAGGACTTCCTTCTTTTCCACAGAAAATTACAATGTTATTTTCTTTCCTTTTTCTTAGATGTTATGAAAATCCCTTCAGTGCCTCTTTACAAGGGAAATCTCTTAATGCTATAAATGTTAATGTAAAATTACATGCAAAAATGTGGAATTTATTTTTTCAGGAAGTTATTTTCAAGAAATGGAAGAATTATTATTATTATTATTATTCCAGGCTTCGTGACATTGTACAACAATAGTCTAGTTTTCTTTTCAATCTGAAATGTTCCTTCCTTGTGTAACACTTTCCCATATAGGTGATGTGCTGAGATGCTTTATAATTTTCCTTTCCCCATTTTTGTCTCTCGTTTGCTATCATTAATTCCTTTTTCTTTTCTTTTCTTCTTCTTCTTAGTTTGATTCCTTATGCTTTTGGTGGGTAATTTGTTTCTTTTTCTATCTCTCTCTATTTTTTTTTCTTTAAACGCCATGGAATGGAATGGAGTGGAGTGGAGTGGAGTGGAGTGGAGTGGAATGGAATACAGTACAGTACAGTACAGTACAGTACAGTACAGTACAGTACAGTACAGTACAGTACAATACAATACAATACAATACAATACAATACAATACAATACAATACAATACAATACAATAGAATTCTTTATTGGCCAAGTGTGATTGGACACACAAGGAATTTGTCTTTATAACATAACATTATAAAAATATTTAAAACTCTTTATCTATTAACAACAACAAAAAGCCTTCCATTTGAACACCCAAACTGAAAACAGATATTTTGCTGCTCTGGGCCAGATGACATCTTTGAAACTCAAGATTACATCTGGTGGTCACAATTTGGCGAGAGGGATTAATTGCTTAGGGTGGGCCTTTAAAAGACCCCTCCAGGACTTTCCCTACTCATGTGATATTGTTGCTGCGGTACTTTCTTCTTCTTCTTCTTCAGATCGCCTATTTTGGTTTCAGCTCGGGAACATCTGCAAGCATCTGCAGAGATCTGACAACAAGATGACCTTTTAAACTTAATCAAGCTGAAGGTTCACAGCTACCCTGGCGTGGGAGTTAGAAGATGTGGTCAGAGATATTTTGGCATAGAGGAAGCTAATGGAGTTGTGCAGCTTCCTTATCACCCACCCACCCTCTTCCTAAAGAAAGCTACAGAAATTTTGTTTCTCAAGTTACTCAAAAATAAGAGGAGGTAATGGCCACATTAGACTTTGACATTAGACTCTGAAGTGAGGGCAAGGGGAAAAAATCAGTTCGTTTCTGAGTCTTCTCCATGGTAGCAAGTCCTCTGGGGTAAAAGTAATCCTCAATTTATAACCATTCATTTAAGGTAAAGGTAAAGGTTCCCCTCGCACATATGTGCTAGTCGTTCCCAATTCTAGGGGGAGGTGCTCATCTCCGTTTCAAAGCCGAAGAGCCAGCGCTGTCCGAAGACGTCTCCGTGGTCATGTGGCCAACATGACTCAATGCCGAAGACGCATGGAGCGCTGTTACCTTTCCAACAAAGTGGTCCCTATTTTTCTCCTTGCATTTTTTATTAAATAATTTTTTTTATTATAGTTGGAAAAAAAAATCAAAAACAAATATATAATAATTTTTCTATCACAGTGTAACATCGCCAAAATATCCATATATATATATACGCCAATAATCAGAGAGTAAAAATAGAAAATATTTACAGATTCTTGTCTACAAATTTACCTTTCCAATACTTATTAATTACCATAAATATACCATCATCTATAATTATAATCTGCTTTCAAACTGCTAGGTTGGCAGAAGCTGGGACAAATAACGGAAGCTCACCCCATTCTGCGAGTAGAGTAGAGTAGAGTAGAGTAGAGTAGAGTAGAGTAGAGTAGAGTAGAGTAGAGTAGAATAGAATAGAATAGAATAGAATAGAATAGAATAGAATAGAATAGAATAGAATAGAATTCTTTATTGGCCAAGTGGGATTGGACACACAAAGAATTTGTCTTGGTCCATATGCTCTCAGTCTACATAAAAGAAAAGATACCTTCATCAAGAATCGTAAGGTACAACACTTAATGATAGTCATAGGGTACAAATAAGCAATCAGGAAGCAATATCAATATAAATCGTAAGGATACCAGCAACAAGGTTACAGTCATACAGTCATTAAGTGGAAGGAGATGGGTGATGGGAATGATGAGAAGATTAATAGTAGTGCAGACTTAGTAAATAGTTTGACAGTGTTGAGGGAATTATTTGTTTAGCAGAGTGATGGCATTCGGGAAAAAACTGTCCTTGTGTCTAGTTGTTCAGGTGTGCAATGCTCTATAGTGTAGGGTAGGAGTTGAAACAATTTATGTCCAGGATGTGAAGGGTCTATAGATAATGGTGAGAAGGTTCATATGGCTTTCAGTAGGTGGTCACCCATTTCTATCTAACCCACCCAAGCTTTGAGTAGGTCAGGCTAGCTGCGAAACCACCATTCGGTGAAAATCACCAGATGTGAGCTGGGATTTACAGCCAACATTAGTATGTCCACTAGGTACCTCCCAGTATCCAAAGCTTTGGCAACCTCTTCATTTATTTTATTTATTTATTTATTCAACTGAAGAAATCCACCCTGCGTGAGTCAGTTGGTTGAAAGTATCCATCAACACACCCATCGCTGTTCACCAGCACTGGGTCAGCAAAAAAAAAAAAAAAAAATAGCGCACACACAGCGCATCAGCAAAACAAAAGCCTGCTTCTCCCCGAACGGGTGTGAAGTGTGTAGGCGAGCTGTTCTCAACCTCATCCTACACAAGATCCTGGATGGGGACTTTGCAACTTGGGGCAAAAGGGTTTGTGTTGTACATCTAAACAGGATGAGGTTAGAATGTTCTGCATCACAGCAACGCGGCAAATTTTTTTAGGACAGCTCATTTTGCCCTTGATTTATTTATGCGTCACATGATTTAGCTGTGTTTGGAGGGGCAGAGAGAGAGAGAGAGAGAGAGAGAGAGAGAGAGAGAGAGAAGTGTGAGTGGACAGAACCCTTAAAACAACAACAACAACAACAACAACAACAACAACAACAACAACAACAACTGGAAGACACACTTTCTTCTCTATTTTGCTTCCATGAAAACTGTAAATTTGGGTCTTGGAGATTCAGGGAATATAAGGCACCAAGGTTGGCTGACCCATAGTCCATGCCATATATTTCTGCAACATATCGCAGGGTGCTGAGGTTTTCTTGCAAACAAATCACCAGGGTCTCCCAAGTTACCTTCCCTCAAAAAGCAACAAGTTGGAAACTGATCCATTAAAGAATTTGTTGGTCTCCAAACCATAAGTTTCATGCAGCCCCCTCCCGTCAGATGTTGTTCGGATACAGTTGGTTTATGCAACGTGCTATGAATGCCCAAGCTGTTAGTGAATGTGGTATCTCTCTCTCTCTCTCTCTCTCTCTCTTTCATATCTATCTTCCATATCTCCATCTTCCATCTCTCTCTCTCTATCTATCTATCCTGTTTCCCCCAAAATAAGACATCCCTTGATAATAAGCCCAATTGGGCTTTTGAGCACATGGCAATAAGGCCAAGCGCTTATTTCAGGGTTCAAAAAAATATAAGACAGGGTCTTATTTTCAGGGAAACACGGTATCTATCTATCTATCTATCATATCTTCCGTATCTATCTTCCATCTCTACATCTATCTTTCATATCTTCCATCTCTCTCTCTCATATCTCCTGCATTTATCTTCCATCTCTCTCTCTCATATCTTCCATATCTATCTTCCATCTCTCTATCTTTCATATCTTCCATCTCTCTCTCTCATATCTTCCACATTTATCTTCCATCTATCTTTCATATCTTCCATCTCTTTCTCTCTTTCTCTCATATCTTCCATATCTATCTTCCATCTACTCTGTCTATTCATCCATCTACCAACCCACCCACCCATCCATCTATCCATGTTCCAGCATACATTGTCAAGGAATTTTTTGTCTCAATTGTTTTCTAAACTGTTATTATATACAACAACCTCCATTCCTTTTGTATCTCAACCTCCTCCAGGTACATAATGACCAAACCAAGAAATTATGTATTTGCCCTATAAAGAAGATACTGCATATCTGATTACATCAGAAGACAATGAACAAAGCGATTGGAGGTGGCTTATTCATACTCGGACAAAGTCTTCCCCAACCAAGGACCTTCCTGATGTCTTCGAACCCAGATTTCTTAGCTTAGATGGCCTTGACTTCATTTAGGCACATGATAGTTGGGAACACAGCGCTACCATAAAAGTGCGGTTGGTTTCTCTTCTAATCTATAATGATTAAGCCCAGGTGGGATTCAAATAATTTAACAACTGGTTCTCTGCCCTAATGACTGGCTGGGTGGGCGTGGCCATGGTGGCCATGGCCAGGGGGTGTGACAGGCAGCACTCGGCCGCCTGCACCCCCCCGGGAGCAAAAATGGGTCGCGGGGGGAGTGCGCTGCACCCCCCCCCCATGCCTCGTTTTGGGCCTGGTAGGCTTCCCTGCACTTACCTGGGATCTGAAATGTGGTGGGTGGGGACTCCTGGAAGGGGCGGGGTGGGGAAGGGAGGGGCCAGCCAGCAATTTAACAACCGGTTCCCCCAAATCGATGAGAACCGGCTGAATCCCACCACTGATTAAGCCCCACACTGCTCCATCTATTTGCAGGTTCCCTCGACTGTAGGAGAAGGAGTGGCAGAACCTGGGGCGGAGTTAAAAGAGGAATCAGCCTAGAATCGCTATGTAGCCACAAGCAAACTAAGTTCAACCTCCCTTGAACTCCATGGACCTTTATCTACCTCCTAGCAGGTGCTAACAGTTAGTTGAATAGATTCCTGTGCATCAGCATGATTAGCAATAAATCAATTTAACTGGACCTCACGTGTGGATCTGGTCTTTTGTACCTGACATTGACTGGCTTATATTAGCTTCCTCAAGGAAACTTCAAAACATCTACAAATAGGCGGATCTAAAGAAGCACATTTCACTCCCACTGAAGCAAACTGTTTCTGCTTCCTCTTTTTCTCCCTTAGCTGACAACTCGGTCACTCTCGACTTCCTCACTTGCTTCCGGAAAGCAACCATTTCCAGCTACACCCAAACTCAAGACAGCCTCTATCGGCGTTATCATCCAATACATTTGCATTACCCTTTCACAACATCTAACACTCTCCCAGCAAAACAAAGTCCTTCAGAGGACTTTGGCAGACAAAAAAAAGGGGGGGGGACATTGCTAGGTCCAGCCCTGTCAGCCCTGGAAGCCATCTTTTCCTGATGTGGAAGCCACATCAACACAAACATATTTTTAACACTCATCTGGCTCCTTTAAATTGACAGTTCTTCCATTATCTTGTTAATGTAGAACAAGGGTCTCCAACCTTGGCAACTTTACAACTTGTGGACTTCAACTCCCAGAATTCCTCAGCCAGCGTATGCATCTGAGAGTTGAAGCCCACAAGTCCTAAAGTTGCCAAGGTTGGAGACCCCTGGTATAGAACATTGAGAACATTGAGATACAGGGTTGTGAGAAGAGTTGTGAGTCAACATCACAAGAACTGTGCATGAACAGAGTTTTGAACCCTATCCAAATACCAAGGCACGCAGCTGCTACACCCAGAATTTGTCATCAGTTCTCGGAATACCAGGTGTGGTGGGTGGGAATTCTAGGGTTTGCACACCCAAGAACTTTTGAGAAGGTCAGGTTTTCATCCTTTATTGGTTGAAGAAACTTCAAAGATCATCCCGAGTAGAGTGATTCACTCAACAGCCTAATCTGGTTTAAATTAGGTTGCAGGGATTTGTCTGAAATGGTATAGGGTTTCCTGCCTGAGCAGGGGGTTGGGGTTGAAGACCTCCAAGGTCCCTTCCAATTCTGTTAGATAGGTGCTATCTCAGTTCCAAACTTAGCAAGAGGCTAAGAAGTAGGTACATGCCAGAATGGAGGTTGGTCAGCAGTGGTGAGTCTTGATGCTTTACATCAGGGGTGTCAAACTGAGGTGGCGCAGTGGTTAGGGTGCAGTACTGCAGCTATTTCAGCTGACTGCTAGTTCAGCAGATCAGCGGATCAAATCTCACCGGCTCAAGGTTGACTCAGCCTTTCGTCCTTCCGAGATGGGTAAAATGAGGACCCAGATTTTTGGGGGCAATATGCTATTTAGAATACTCTCTTTGGTGTAAGCCGCCCAGAGTCCTCGGAGAGTGGGCGGCATAGAAATATGAATAATAAAACAAATTAAATAAATAAATAAACTCAAGGCCCACGGGCCAGATCCGGCCCACGGGGGGTTGAGATCTGGCCTGTAGGGCCGCCCTGGAAACAGTGAAGGACTGGCTGGTGGTGCCTCTGCCAGCAAAAACAGAGTTCAGGAGGGCTGCCGGTGGCTTTCCCGAGCTGTTTTCGCTAGCAGAGGGTTACAGGAGGCCATTGCAGCCAAAAATGGAGCTCAGGAGCCTGTTTCTGCTGGCAGAGCACCCGGGCCACCACAGGCGCCCCTGACATGAGTGACGTCAGGCTGGCCATGCCCCCTGGCCCACCGAGGTCAAACACAACCCTGATGCGGCCCTCAATGAAACCAAGTTTGACACCCCTGCTTTACATGATATGAAGAAGTACTTGATTAAATGGATACATACTATATGTTGCCATCTTTAGTAAATTTTTATCATTATTTTTATAAATAACTCAAATTGGCAAACATGCTTCATACTTCTTCCTCCTATTTTCTCCACAACAACAACCTTGTGAGATGGGTTGGGTTAAAAAAGAGAGTAAGTGGCCCAAAGATACCCAGTCAGCTTTCATGCCCAAGGTGGAACTAGAACTCACCATCTCCTGGTGATTGGCCCAAAGTTACCCACCCGGCTTTCCTGGCTAAGGTGGGAATAGAACTCACCGTTGATTTGTGATTGGCCCAAAGTCATCCATGTCTAAGACAGGACTTGAACTCATGGTCTCCTTGTTTTCTAACCTGGTGCTTTCATCACTAGACCGAACTGGCTCAGGTTATGTTTTTTGACAACTGATTTTAAATGATCATTGATGTTATATCCATGATTTTTATAAGACATTTTTTTAAAAAAGGCCCTTTTAATAGGAAAATACAAAATTGTAAGATACTTTTATTGTGTCACGAATGCAAAATTTAAGACATTTTATGTATCTATATCTATATATCAGTGGTGAAATCTAAAAATTTGGTACTACCGGTTCTGTGGGCGTGGTTTGGGGAGGGGGTAATGTGACTGGGTGGGCGTGGCCAATTTTTTTTTTACTTTTAAAACCATTTTTTCTACATTTTTTCTTCTTTTCGGCAAAGAGGTTGTAAAAAAAAAGCTTTTAAAAGGCTCTGACAATCCCAGCTGAGTTGCCTGATCGGCGGAGACTTTTTTTCTTTTAAATGCCTCTGAGGATCCCAGCTGAGCCACGCGACCATCAGAGGCTTTTTTTTTTTACTTTTAAAAACATTTTTTCGGCCGAAGAGGTTGTAGAAAAAATGCTTTTAAAAGTAAAAAATAAGCCTTTGATGATTGTGCAGCTCAGCCGGGCGGGGGTGGGGGGCCAGGGATTTTTGCTACCGGTTCTCCGAACCACCCGCCTCCATCGCTACCGGATCGGGCGATCCAGTCCGAATTGGGAGCATTTCACTCCTGATCTATGTCTATGTCTATGTCTATGTCTGTCTATGTCTATGTCCATCCACCCATCATCTATCTATCTATCTATCTATCTATCTATCTATCTATCTATCTATCTATCTATCTATAAATTGATCCAGTCGGGCAACCCAGCTTTGGGTTTTAAAACAAAGTTAGGTAAAAAGGGTTGAAAACAATCTTGAGGGAGAAGTGGCTTAACGCGCAAAAGACCTGGTTTGCTGTGCCAAAACACGCCAAGCAGTTTCTGACTACAGTACACACTTTTTTTTTTTCAATTGGGAATTGCTGGACCAATTAGTTGCTCGCGGAGTATTCGCTGTCACCAAGGGATGCAGCAAAATCCCTGCTGGCAAGCTATGTTCTCTGTGTGTAATTCGTTATAAGCAAATAAACAGAAGTGCTCAGGAAGGAGGTATTACTTCAGGGTTAACCCTGTAGTCGCTGAAGAGTACAGGAGCCTGACTGGCAGGAACCGGAGACTCTCAAATCCGCTTCCAAACTTGTCGAGAAACTTCTGAGCGAGCGTGGCTTACAGGAGGAAGGGCAGGGTTTGAACTGGCGGCCTTGGGTTATTATACAAAGGAGAAATGATTCTGTTTTTCTTAGTAGTCACTGGTTCTTCCTTGCCACTTTTTAGGTCAGTGTTTCTCAATCTTGGAAACTTAAAAATGTGTGGAATTGAAATGTGAAATGTGTTCTGGGAATTGAAGTCCAGACATCTTCAAGTTGCCAAGGTTGAGAAATACTGTTCTAGATTCTCATCAAAGGACTCACTTACTGGATTTATCTTTTTCTTTCTCTTTCTTTCTTTCTTTCCTTTCTTTCTTTCTTTCTTTTTTTCTTCTTCTTTCCTTCCTTCTCTTTCCTTTCTTCTTTCTTTCTTTTTCTTTTCTTTCTTTCCTTTCTCTTCCTTTCTTCCTTCTTTTTCCTTTTTCTTTCCTTTCTCTCTCTCTTTTCCTTCCTTTCTCTTTTCTTTTTTCTTTTTCTTCCTTTCTCTTTTCTTTCTCTTTCTTTTTCTTCCTTCCTCTTTTCTTCCTTTTCTTTTTTCTTTTCTTTCTTTTCCCTTTTCCTTTCTTTTCCATGTTTCTTTCCATGTACTCCAACCGTAATTTAATTCGGAAATGTGGTTAAATACTAGTACATATTTTACTTCCAACACTTCTGAAAAAAATAGCAGCCTCTGCTTACTGGCACAACTTTTTTTTTTTTTTTTACAAAGTTTGAAAGTTGGCAGGGAAGGCAGCTCCCAGTCATGCATACAAACTGAACTCAACACCCTAGTGAGGCTCAGACCCAGGAGTTTAATTTTCCCAAGGCCATTCACGCAAAGCTGCTCCGGTGGCGTCACCGAAGCCAGCAGCAGCCTAGCAGAAACCCTGCAGAGACTCAAAAGACAGAGCTCGGCTTTCGCTCCAAAATATGCAGCTCCCATCCTGCTCGATTAACTTAAATGAACTTGAGGTGGAAGGCCGCTTTAGCACAATCGATGGAAGAGTAAGGGAAAGCAAGCCACTGTGTCTATTTTAAAAAAAGAAACTTTACAGTAGTCCTTGACTTAGGACAATTAGCATCAGAACACAAAATATAAGCTGGGCAGATATGACCTAGTATATGACCCTCACTCTGTCAAGGACCTTGGAGTACTCATCTCAAACGATCTAAGTGCCAAAGCTCACTGTAACAGCATTGCCAAAAAGGCATTAAGAGTTGTTAACCTAATCTTGCGAAGCTTCTTCTCCGGTAATATTGAACTGCAAACTAGGGCATACAAAACCTTTGCTAGACCAATTCTCGAATACAGCTCATCTGTCTGGAACCCGCACTGCATATTGGACATTAATACAATTGAGCGAGTCCAGAGATCTTTCACGAGAAGAGTCCTCCACTCCTCTACTCGCAATAGAATCCCTTATGCCACCAGGCTTGAAATTTTGGGCTTAGACAACTTAGAACTACGCCGCCTTCGGTCTGATCTAAGCGTAGTACATAAAATTTTCTGCCACAATGTCCTTCCTGTCAATGACTACTTCAGCTTCAACCGCAATAATACATGAGCACCCAATAGATACAAACTTAAGGTAAATAGCTCCAAACTCGATTGTAGAAAATACAAAAAAAAGAGCCTTGGTAGGACAGTGGACTAATGCACTGTTATTAACATCTGCTGCTTGCAATT